CCCCCCCCCATTGAAGACATAGAATATCTGGAAATAAAACTATTTCTATTCAAAAGTCATATATTTACTTAAAGTTTGTTATCATACTGTTGTTATCAAAAGATTAACTTTAATCAAAATTAATCCCTTAAACTCTTTAAATTGTTTAAATGCGAACGTTCTTCAGGGCTCTACCCCTCCCCTCCCCTTCGTTCGCAAAAGTTTGCATTGGCCGACCCCCCCCCTCCCCCAGAGTGCGAACGTAATATGTGAACAAAGCCTTATATTAATTGTTTGTTTGACTTTCATCTCATTGATAACAGCAAACACACGATAAGAATCGTTGATTACTATAGAAATACAATGAAATCAATTGCGATAAAAATCAACAAATCGTTTGACGAGAAATCAATTGAAGTACTAATGAAAGGCATATCAGAAATGAAAGAAATACTAAACATTGAGCTTTCAATACATCCAACGTTTTATTTAATTGTGTTTTCATTGAATGCGATGAAACAAATTGGCGTCAATTGTCGTAAACTACGGAAACTTAAACTTCACACGTATTACAATCTTTCGTATATATTATACGATATTATCAAAAAATACTTCAATCAAATACAACGACTGGATGTGGGGTTTGAGTCAAAACTCGTGAGACATTGCATTACATGTGAATTACTAAATGAATGCAAACAATTAACAAGTTTGCGAATAGTGTTAGACCATGATCAATTTATTATTTCCGAATTTTTTACTGATATCGATAAACATTTACCACAACTTAAACATATTGACATATATTTCGCTGTTGTCAATGAAAAGGCAGTCAATTGTTTGTGTAAATTAAAACATTTGAGAGATATTTCCATTCAAACGGATTGTATGGACGCACGAGTCATGCGAACAATTGTTGCTTAAAAGTTGTCCCAAACTAACAGATAGATTGTGTGTCATTCAGGACTATATATAACTGTTAATAAATTTGTTTAATAAGAATTAATTTTAATAATATAAATCTATTTGAAATTAGTTCAAGTTATAATGTTACAATTTAAACCACGTTTAACTTTAATTAAAAAAACAAATATTAACATAATAACCAATCTTTTAGATACTATTTTAAATGTCATATTATATTGACATTGTACAATTAAATTAAGCAATTATTTTATCGTCCTTTTTATTAAAAAATTTTGCAACTTATTATTTAAAGATATTTTATTAATTTTTATTGTGGAGTAATATAATTATATAATTAACTAAATTAGTTATTGTTGAAAACACTAATTCAAATATAATACACAATTTATTTAATTGGATAGACATAATATAATTTAATGAAGGTTTCCAAATACATGTATAGTAAAAACCAGCTAATTTTAAACTAAATATCGGCAAAAAGTTACACACTTCAATAGATTTTCAGTATAAAGTGTAGTATCAAATTCCGTCAAATGAGTATTGAAGTATTTATTGTGACCAAACTGAACAAGATTAAATACTAATTCTTTCGAGAATTTATTCTTAAAGTAATATATTTGCATTAAAAAATTATTTTGATTAAAATAATAAATTAGTTATAATTCTATAGCAAATTTACCCGGCGACAATTTTATTGGTCCTTACTTTAATTACATTGAGTCATATGCACTGTACATTGCAAACCATCTGTGTACAATTTTGCAAAAAGCATATTTTACAAATCATTATAATAAAAATCCTTAACTAACCTACAACTATGAACTAAAATGCGCTTGGTCACTATCATGATGGCTGTGGCCGTATTGACCATCAGCACACATACCGTGTTGTCCAATCCAATTCGTACGTATTATATAAATACTAGTCTACTGTATATGTATACTTTAACATGAAACTAATTTTATCTAATCGTTAATGTTAATCCTATAGGATTAATGTTAAGCCTGAAACAATGTTAATCTTATGAGTAATGTTAAGTCTAAGTTAGTACTGCTTAATCCATTTGAGCAATAAAACTCCAATGGACAAAATTGTAATATATCTAGCAAATAATTGTCACGCCATGGCATTGGGTGTAATCATTGTTTACAATAATTAAATGTTTATACGAATAGCCGACGCCTACGCCGAGGCAATCCCGGGGCCCAAACCAGAGGCGAATCCCGAACCATATGCTATGCGTCGGCGTATTCGTAAACCCAAACAGCTTACAGACGCAAAAGCAGCTGAAAAGGCTATTCTTACCATGGTCAAACACTAATCTTGCCTATTTAGTTAAAATAAGTTATTATTAAACACGTGTACCTTTTTCATTCGTTTGTTATAAAATTATAACAATAATAAATAGTTTATTTAATCAAAACTATTCAAATATATATGTAAAATTATTATTCATTTAAATTAATTTTTCTCATGTTTTTAACAATTAAATTAATAAAATTTGTTAAGCATTAAACGAATATTTTATTTTGTCTCAACGATAACATTGACAGTGTAGATTACTTAGACTTGATCTCGTTTGACTATTTAATCAATTAACACATCAACCATAACATCCAATTGCATTAACTCATATGCACTTTAAAATTGCATTTACATTGCAAACCATCTGTGTACAATTTTGGAAAAACATATTTCATAAATCATTATATTAAAGTGATTCATAATCCTTAACTAACCCACAACTATAAACTATAATGCGCTTGGTAACTATCATAATAGCCGTGGCTGTATTGACCATCAGCACACATACCGTGTTGTCTGACCCAATTCGTACGTATTATATAAATTTATATCTTCAAAAAATACACATTACTTAATGCCTTCATAACTGTTATGCAAGCATTGAAATGAATGAATTACAATCGTAAGGGTAATCATAGGGGAAAGCACTTGATATCAACTCAAGTATTAATAACTTTAACTATAATTTTTACTTTCATAAAATGATGAATGAATAGCCGCTCCCTATATGGAGGCCAACCCGTATCACCCATTCGAGGATAATCCATATCTAGATCAGGACGTACCTCTTCAATTGAGTTTGGACGAGGCCTTTGCAATGCGCCAGAGCCAGCTAGATGGCTAATCTATAAATACAATTAATTTATACATTTATTTGTTATAAATTAGTTTTTGTGTAAACTTTTTATTAATTAAAATTAATTAATAATTGTTACGTTATTTATTATTTGGTTAATAAAATTTATAAAATGTTAAAAAATAAGTTGATAAATATTTTGAATTTGTTTGATTGTATCAGTCAATGATGTTATTTAAATAATTAAACATTGCATAAAATAATTATGAGTTTAAAACATTTTATAAGTTAATAACCGATTAAAATATCATACGTATGTTTTGTATCTGTTGAGAGAATTTTAAATGTCACTTTATATTGACATGTACAATTAAATTAATCAATTATTTTATTGGGCTTTTTATTAAAAAATTTTTGCAAATTATTGTTAAAGATATTTTATTGATTTATATAAAGAAGTAATTTAATTAACTAAATTAATTATTGTTAAATACAATAATTCAATTATAATACACAATTTATTTAATTGGATAGACATCAACCATAACATCCAATTGCATTGACTCATATGCACTGTACATTGCAAACCATCTGTGTTCAATTTTGCCAAAGAACATATTTCATAAATCATTATATTAAGGTGATTTCATAAAAATCCTTAACTAACCTACAACTATAAACTACAATGCGCTTGGTAACTATCATGATAGCCGTGGCCGTAATGACCCTCAGCGCACATACCGTGTTGTCCGACCCAATTCGTACGTATTATATAAATTTATATCTTCAAAAAATACACATTACTTAATGCCTTCATAACTGTTATGCAAGCATTGAAATAAATGAATTACAATCGTAAGGGTAATCATAAGGGAAAGCACTTTATATCAGCTCAAGTATTAATAACTGTAATTAATAATAGCATACCCGCCCTCCTCCGACCCCTCTTTCAACTGTAATAAAACCATGACATTTCAAACTGACCCAAAAATTTCTATGTTCTAGTCACGTGATTTCAATAAAATTTTATACAAAAATACTAGAGATATGGAACATCATTATGCACTTTACAGATTTAATCTAGCTCATATCGTTTAGGAGATATTGATTGATAAATTATGAATTCACTAAATGCTGTTTGGTTATTAATAATTCATATAATCTATATGTATAATCCAATTATGAGAGAATAAGAGTGCGATTACACAATTTAGATAAGTCTGTAATTTTTCTTGAGTCTACACATGGTAAAGACACTTTATATTCACTGCTATACATCTAATTGATGTTTCTCTTCAACTAATTATAAGATAATTAATACATTATTTTATGCAATAAATTCAGTAAATGCTATAAAATGTGTTATATAATTATCTATTAATTATTATTTGAACTCAAAATAATGTAAAAGTAAACCTTTACCAAAAAATTAAAACATTTTTAGCTTTATGCACAAAACTGCCGACGTTTTCATTTTGCGTCCAAATCTTATCGACAACTTTTAGAATAAAATAAAATAATTGTTTTTTAAAGCGATCGATACGTTAAAACAATGAGAGGCGAACCCACTAAAGCCGAGTTTAAACGCTTGCCAGCGACGGTCACTCCAATCAATTACAATATCACTCTTCGGCCGAACCTCAAAAGTTTTACGTTCAACGGTTCGCAAGCCGTGCGGCTTATGGTCAACGAGAATACCAGACATATAGTGCTCAACAGTAATGAGATTGACATTAGTGTCGCCACTTATACGCCACAAAATGGCAAACGTAATTATTTAATTAATATTGGTTAATTAATTTTTAGCCCAATACTAAACACTTAAATGTTTTTTATTAATCCGCGTCTTAAGCGTTGACTTCCGAAACGATCGAAAACAACGCCGAAACCGAAGTGACGGCTATTAGGTTTGCGGAGACGTTGAGCGCCGGACCGGGCGTTTTGAAACTCGAGTTCACGGGTACTCTAAATGACAAACTTAAGGGTTTCTATCGAAGCAAATACATGAGCGCCGACGGACAGGAGGAACGGTATGCGGCGGTCACGCACTTCGAGGCGACCGACGCTCGCCGCGCGTTTCCGTGTTGGGACGAACCGGCGCTTAAGGCCACGTTTGATATCACACTTGTTGTGCCCACCAATCGGGTGGCGCTTTCAAACACAAACGTCATCTGCGAGTCTGTGCTCGACGACTACCCGTCGCTCAAAGTGGTGAAGTACGCGACCACTCCCGCAATGTCCACCTATTTGGTGGCATTTGTTGTGGGAGAGTATGACTACATTGAGGGCGAGTCAAAGGACGGGGTTGTCGTCCGGATCTACACACCGGTGGGAAAGAAAGATCAGGGATTGTTCGCACTGGAAGTGGCCGTCAAAACGCTCACCTATTATAAAAACTATTTCAATATCCCGTATCCGTTACCCAAAATGGATTTAATAGCTTTGGCTGACATGGCGGCCGAAGCTATGGAAAACTGGGGTTTAATAACGTATAGAGAGGCCTATCTTTTAGTGGATCCGCAAAATACGTCGACGCGAACTAAACAATGCGTGGCACTAATGGTGGCTCACGAGTTGGCTCATCAATGGTTCGGCAATTTGGTAACAATGGAGTGGTGGACTCGTGAGTACTTTTTCTTTAGTTGTACAATATTCCTAAGCCACAAAACGGTTCTAACACTTCACTCTTAGTTTCACTGCATCACACGTCATAATGTGGAGCTAATGTAATATTAAGTACAGATAAAATGTAGTCCCACACTATGGCGTGTAATGCAGGGCATCTAGGAATGTAGTGAAAGGAGAGTCACGTTTTAGCCCCGTTTTTAGCTTTAAGAAAACTGTATATCAATACATAAGTGATGTTTTAATTGATAAATATTTGTTCATTAGATCTGTGGCTTAATGAAGGTTTTGCTACATTCATGGAATACCTTTGTGTCGACCATCTGTTTAACGAATACAATATATGGACTCAATTTGTTTCCGACATATTCACGCCAGCACTCGAATTGGACGCACTTCACAACTCACACCCCATTGAAGTACCCGTTAGTCACCCGTCAGAGATCCGCGAGATTTTTGACGACATATCGTATAATAAAGGGTCGGCAGTCATACGAATGCTTCACCGCTTTATTGGTGACGAAGTGAGTTTGCTAGCGTTACCAAATAATATCTTTAAAATCCTGTATAAATGTGTTCAAATTACCACAAATTCCTGTACTACAGTTTATTTACAAATTATTTGTTCTTGTATTTTTAACCACAATTCAGATATGAATAATGTGGTTTATAGGATCGTTCGAAAATGAAATTATAAATAAATCTGCCATAATACATAGAACTAATTGTTGTCAAAAACATTTAAAATTCTCAAAATAATAATAGTGAAAGTATTACCATAGAGTGAAGTGCGAAATCAGGACACAGTGTTTGTTATCATATCAGTGGCGCTCACGAAGAATGGTCGGGACATCGCTGTGTGTGAGTAATACCCGAATTGTGGTTAACGTATAGCATCGCTGTGTGTAAGTAATACTTCAATTGTGGTTAACGTATATCATCGCTGTGTGTGAGTAATACCCCAATTGTGGTTAACGTATAGCATCGCTGTGTGTGAGTAATACCCCAATTGTGGTTAACGTATAGCATTGCTTTGATCCTTGTTTCATGTACAAAAAAATTCTGTCTTTTGTGAAAATTTCTGTCTTTTGTGAAAATTCCTGTATATTACAGAAAATTTGTTTGGCAACGCTGGTTATTACAAAATTTAGTTATAATTTGTTTCTAATGGTTATTTCTCATATAGTTGTTCCGTAAAGGAATGCATTTATATTTGTCAAAACACTTGTATAAGAATACCTTAACCGAAGACCTGTGGACTTCACTACAAGAAGCCAGTAATAAACCAGTTAGAGTTGTGATGACCACATGGACAAAACAGAAGGGATATCCTGTTATATCGGTTAGTATTGTTCGCATTAATCAATTACTTGTTTATCGAGTGATAAATTGTTTATTAAATGTGAATCAAATTACAGGTGACATCACGTCGTGAGGGAAATTCACTGATACTAACCTTAACTCAAGAGAAATTCTGTGCCGACGGAAAATTGCCCGCATCTGAAGCGAACACCGTTTGGATGATTCCTATATCTGTGACCCGAGCGTCAGATCCCACCAAAATTTGGGCCCAAGTTTTAATGGACAGAAAAACTATTGATATCGAGATTGCGGACGTTTCGGCCAACGAATGGGTCAAATTAAACCCAAACAGTGTCGGCGTATATCGTGTCCACTATTGCCAAGAGTTGTTGAATCTATTATTGCCGGCCGTCGGCAACAAAACTCTTCCCCCATTGGATCGATTGGGTCTTCAAAACGATTTGTTCGCTTTGGTTACGTCCGGACGGACAGCGTCTGTCGATATTCTCAAACTCATGGACTCGTTCCCCAACGAAGACGACTATACAGTTTGGACGTCAATTGTCGACTGTCTCGGACGACTCAATCAACTTCTTTCTCACACCGATTTGGAGACTGTTTTTCACGAGTTTGGCCGTCGATTGTTGTCGAAGACGTATTCAAAACTTGGATGGCATCCGATCGAAGGCGAGACCCATTTGGACACATTGCTCAGGAGTTTAGTCATCACAGGTTTGGCTTCATTCCAAGACCCGGGTGTCATATCAGAGGCCAAATACGTGTTTGAGTCACACCGCGGCGGCGCTCACACTATAGGCGCTGATATCCGAGAGGCCGTCTATCGTGCGGTTGCTCTCGATTGTAATGACCAATCATTTGAGGCATTATTTCAGGTCATTTTTATTTTAAAATATTCAAAATTTTTTGCATAATAATGAACGAATGATTTGATATTACAGCTGTATAGAGAGGCAGAGCTCCAGGAAGAGAAGGCTCGGGTGTGCCGAGCGTTGGGAGCCGTCAACGACGCTAAACGTATCGCTAAAGTACTCGACTTCGCGCTATCGGTAATAAATAAACCAATATTTTTGTTTCAAGCGGTGGTTAAAATGTGTGCACACTTTGTTGGACACACCCATAGAGTGAAGTGCGAAATCAGGACACAGTGTTTGTGATCATATCAGTGGCGCTCACGAAGAATGGTCGGGACATCGCGTGGGAGTTTGTCAAGAAGAATAGGGATGAGCTGAGACGTCGCTACGAAAGCGGCGTTTTGGTCACAACACTCGTCAAGGTATTTGTCACCCAATTGTGTCCTTCAATAATGTATTTACTAATAACTCGAATGCGTTGATCACACGGACAGCACATCTCACAAAACTTTGTCACCGAAGACAGACTACAAGAAGTGGAGATATTTTTCACTCAAAATCCCTTCCCGGGAAGCGAACGCACTGTTCGACAATCGCTGGAAACGATTCGTCACAACATTGATTGGTTGGCTCGCGATTTGCCATCCATTCGATCGTATTTAACAAATCGCTCGTAAAATTAGAGCAAATATTGTAAGAATTATTTAACATAAATTTTATTTATGTTTGAGAATGTTTGCAAACTTTTACCTCAACTCATATTATATCTGTTTTTAATAAGAACATACAAATTGTATTAGTGTCCAAAATATTAGCATAGTTACTGATACTGTAGAATAATTACCCCAATTCATTATAACTCAACTCAATGCCAAAATGAATGGTGTGCCCGCACTATAGCATATAATTAGAGATGTTAGTAGTGAAATTTTGGGAACGTTTAGGGGTCTTGATGAACATTTAGGCTAAATGTTCAATCACTCTATATTAGCGACATCTTTATTCTACATATTTACTACATAAATCACTAATTTTTGTAATTTAATCTAAATTAATTCTTATTATGTAAAAATAATTTATTTAACTACTAATCACAATGCTTTATTTATTATTAGTATATTATTAGTTTGCAGAATCAAAATTTAAAACTTATATTTTAAGTAAAATATTCATAGAATTGATAGCAGAATATACAAGAATTTGCAAGAATCTTTAAATAATTTAAAATATCCAGAGAACCAAATCAATTGAAATAGTGATTTCTATTCACACACTGTCCCGTTCCAGACCTATAACCAAACCGTCCACCAAAATCCCTATTGAAAAGCATTATGAGAAATGCGTGATATTGGTTATAGGTCTGGAACGGGACAGTGTGTGAATAGAAATCACGTATCACTATTTCAATTGATACATGCACATCTCATGTACAAATTCCATGCCTTAAAAGTCCATGATAATCACTGGCCAGTGCCAGCGGATCCTTTAAACTACCGAACCCTTCGGTTTAATGCTATTTATGGAGCAGCGGCGATGGCCACTCGTGGTTTAAATTTAACAAATTACTCTTGGAAACTTTAGCCAACCATATGACAAATATTTTCATTAAAATTTTATGAAAAATAATCACTTTTAATTAGGATTTCTCTATTAATTTACTTTTGGGGAAATACTTTTGATTCACTTCTAATGCAATCCTATGGCATTTTACTGGGGACATTCATTTGGAACTCACTGTAATGCTTGCCTTAACGTATAATTTCAAAAATAAATTTAAATAAAAACCACAATTTTTAGTGTATTTTACATTCATTAGATGTGAGCCTCGTTTGTATTTTAGATCATTCATTACATCTGGATTTACTCTATACACCAATTTCAACATGCTAATTTAAAGTATTATATGATTACTTGATAAATATTAATTACCATGCCTACAATGGGATCCAAATCATCACAATCGAATTACACAATAAAACAGTTTTATTCAAAAATTAATTTTTAAATAACAACCTATTTTAATAAAATAGTGGCAAGGTGGGTTTTTGTTTTATCCCTTAAAAATCAATCTAAAATGTTTAAAAAAATTATTTTTGACAAATTTTGATTTAATATTCGTTTATAAATAATCAAATTTATAGTTTAATTAAATTGTCAACTAAATTTATTAAACATTTATAAACTTAACCGTTTATAACCCTGGTATGCTTTAATTTTTGGATAATATTGATTTTGCAATTAATTTGCTATTTTATTAAATTTGTGAAATTTTATGTTAAATATTTTTAAGTGAATTCGATACATAAGTTATAAATAATTTTATTTTATATTTAAAAAGCGTGTTTTACATTTACAAATAAAATCGATATTTTAAATTTCTCTTGAATAGCCTAATTATGTTAATGTTATATTGCAATCATTTCTGGCTTTAATAAATTTTAAAGATTTAACCTTATAAAATATAGCTGTTATAAATTATCCACTACTTTTAGAACAAAATTGGCACCAGGGTAGTTTCCGGAAAGGGCCTGAATTTGGATAGTGCTATATCTATTTTTAAGCATTATCTAATTGTTATTAAGCTATAGCATTAGTTTTTAAAACAACACTACAATAAATAATATTAGTTTATATCATAACAGAACAGCTCTCATTAAAAAAATTTTAAGGATTATAAATAGACATTGATTTTCTTGTATTATGGACCATAATTTATGGTAGATTTTCAAACATTGATTACATATCTAAGGTATAGAATGTGTTGCATTATAGATAACACCAATAATCCAATTGATATGAGTGGACACTCGCACCCAAACCATGTACGAGTCCGGCCAATGAGTCGCGCAATACGCCTGAATTGACGCGTTATATTTGGTAAAACCTTTCCACACACCAATCAATACGGCCCGACCCGAAACATATTGGATTAACGGTCCCCCGGAATCGCCCTATAATTATACACAAAATATATAATAAGAACACTTACGTCACATAATATTGTTTAATATTGGGGTAGAAAAAGAAGGATTGGGAAGGGTATACAATTAGTGTTCCCAGAAGCTCCCGGAATGGCAGGAGTCTCCAGGAATCAAGGTCTGGCTCCTGTCTCCCGGCGAGGGTCTCGCCTTGATATGGGGAGCTCAAGGAATTTAATGTTCAATTAAATATCATATTTTATGCAAAATATTAATAAAAATAATTTTAATGATGATTAAATAGGTATCAGATCAACAGATTGTTAATGTTTGCCCAAAAATATATACTCCGTATTTACACTCCTTCCTGAAAAATATAAATAAGTGTTCTAAAAGCCAGTTATGAACTTATAATACACTATAAATTACAATTTATATACTGCTTTAATAGTTAAATAATTATTTTCTCTCAAAAACGTATCAAGGAAAAACTCAAGGAACTTTCACTAAAATCTCAAGGAATCCCAAGGAAAATATTACTCAAAATTACATTTCTCAAGGAAATTGAAATATTGACCTGGGAACACTATATACAATGTATACAAACATATAATGTATACAAACATACATTATAATATAAATGTACGCAAACACATGCATATGTTTGTTGGCAATTGAGACTCACTACGCAATTGGATGTGCCGACAGACAGGGGCACCGGTTTTGCAAACAAAAAATGCTTTTTATTGATCAATACGATATCATTGGCCATCACCAACTTTACCCAACCCATACGAAGGTACGAATCGTGATCACCCGCATTGCTTATAAGTCCCCATCCGCTGACCATTGCGTACTCGTCGCTAGTGTTAGTCACACCTCTGGCCGGCAGGCATACAGTGCCCGCCGATAGCCTGTCCAACGACCGTATGTTGGGCTCTAAGCGTATGAGTGCAATATCGGGTGAGTAACCGTCGGGTGTGTAGTCCGGGTGTGTGTAAAAGGGGTGGTTTTTTGAGTTCGTGTATTCATATCTCTCTGGATATGTGAAGCCCTCGTTGTAATCCACGACACCGATTAAGATTGTCAATGATACCGGGCATATATGGGTGGATGTATTGCACCTTGGACATTTTAAATAAACTTATAAGTTTAGCCATGAATAACTTTGAAAACTTAATTACTCCACGCAATGGGCGGCTGTAATTATCCACGATTTATTTATAACCGTCCCTGAACATTTACTAGGCCATTCGTGGCTGTAAATAGTTTTAATCAAATTAACCATATTGTGTAAATATAATTACAATATAATTACAATATAATTACAATTACAATGTAAATATACTTAATCTACTTTTATTTTTTATCATACAACAAACTTGTATTAGTTACGACCATATAAAATAATATTATGTTTACCCGTTTATAGGCCTGGTGGTTATTTTAATATACGCGACAAAAGGCATTTCCCCTTTGGTGGGGATCCTTCCGTTTGCTATACGATTTATGGCAGAGGTTTTGTGATAAGTAAAGCACTTGTCGTCCATAAGCAACGACTCCCGACCCATTCCACAGTCACTGTCCGTGACGTTAGGATAGTGTTGGATAACAGCGTGAATGCCATCACTCGTGACGATTACCACCACTTGAATTGGTTTCAAATATTAAATTCAATTATTGTATTATTTCCCAAAATAATTAATTTAAGACTTACTCATAATGAAGAAAAATAACAAAAACTTTATTTGTAAAATCATTTTTATAAAACAATTAAATTGTTTGAAATGAATAATAATATTAATATCAATACAAGACTACTAGCCAGCTCCTCCCGCTCCCCCGTTAATAAGTTATAATAATATTTATATTTATAAGTTATAATAATAATCAATACAAACTACACCTACTGTTGAAAGTGGTGTTTAATTGTATAGTAGTAGGGATTTTTATAAAACAATTAAATTGTTTGAAATGAATAATAATATTAATATCAATACAATATAAGTTTTACATAAGAAACTTTCATTAAAAAAAATATGAAACTCTAAACTGAAATTTGGATTAATATTTCAATAACAAGGCTTTGAATAAAACAATATTCTATAAATTATATGGAAAATAATTTATTATAAAAATTAAAACATATATTGTATAACAGAGAATTAATATTGCCGTAGATTTAATAACTATTATTTATAAATAACTTTATGATGGTGACAACTAACTGTGTTTGCTATAGTGTAGTTGACAACATCAATGATATATTAGTGAAATATTATAAGTTAATGTAAAAGATACAATATTGCAATTAATTGTTTTAAAGAAATGTGTGGTCGTTAGTTATACTGCGATCTCTTCTTGTATAGTATTTAGGGTTGCCAGACCTCCAGGAACGTCCTGGAGAATTCAGGAATTTGACAATTTCTCCAGGCTCCAGGAAGGGGTCATTCCTGGAGATATAAAACTCCATTAATTATTTTCACTGTAAATGATTTTTAGAACATTATTTTACAAACTTTTATACATGCTTTTCTGTAATTATATGTTCTAATAATCAAAAAACAACGAAACTGTTTTTCGTCGCGAATAAGGATTGTCTCAATACATGATAAAAATCTGTTAATTATAAACTATTCACTCCTTCACTTATAAATAGCTTTTCCTCTGATATTAATTTAAAGGCTTAACTAATGCCGCAAATTATATGTTTTATTGCTTTTAATTAAAAAATAAACAAAAATAATTAAAATATTTCTTGACTAATAATAATGTTTATAAATTAAACACTTAATTAAAGTTAAAATAAAAATCATAAAAAATTC